CGCCATCGCTCCTGCATAAAAGACGACACCACGGCGTACGTGTCCTGAGTTGGTTGTGGTATTACAGGAGTGTGTGTCCCAATCGTAGTGCGATTTGCCGCGGCATCAGCAAGATCATTTCCTTAGATCCCCGCGTGACTTGGGACGCAACACAGTAGCGGACCGTTTTTCCTGTTCCAACCAGAGGGGTAAGACGTGTCTGAATGTCCTGGACCCGTAGATTCGACGTGGAGAAGCCGCAAACAGCCAGGAGGCTGCTCATGGCGTCGGAAAGAGCCAAATGAAGATCGCTACCGCCAAGTTTTTAAAACAAAGTTTTGATGATGGCTGTCAGCTCGGAAGTGAAAACTGACGCGTGTGTAGCCCGCGCAAATGGCCGTGTTTTATAGCCACATACAACAGCGCTCCCTATACCTGCATGCGTCGTAACACAATCCGTGTAAGTCGTCAAATATCCGTCAAAGAAGACCATGCACTTTAAGGCCGTGTTTCCAAGTTCTATCGCGGTTACGTTGTTTTCGTGTTTGATAAGGAACGTCCACTTTTGGCGGCGCTTACTTCCAAGGGGCAATTCCTTTCTTTAGATCTGATTACACCTCGTAAGTTGAAGCCGCCACATTGTCGTGACTGTTGGAGTGGCCTTCGTAAGCCGCACGAAAATACTGCTTTGTAGATGGAATAATCTGGGAACTGCGCTAGCTTGCACGTGTGGCTCAGTCCCAGCACCTGCCTTCGCAATGCTAGTGGGGTGCTCCTGAGCCTCTACCAGGAGACTATCATGTGAATGATCATGACTTTATATGATATTCGCCTGCGGTTTCCGCAAAACAGACAAACCTATTCCACGGAACTGGCGATTGATCGTGGGACGTGACCGGTTATTTCTACGCCTTGCATCAAATGTCGCCTTTGAATGATGGCAGGACGCACTGCCGTTGTATTAAACAACATTGTATTGTATCGAACACTGACAAACGGTCGGTAGCGGCCAAATCAGTTCTCCTGACTCGCGAACACAAGACGCTTCAATCTATGCCACGTGATCTATTTCACATGGCTGTGAACGTGAAAGGCTTGGACGCATGGACGTCCAAACCCTCTGACCTGTATTCATGAGAATGCGTGAATACAGTAGAAGGTTCACGTGAATGCTTCGCAATGCTAATGGGGGCTCGTGCGCTTCTACCAGACGACATGGACGACGTTCGAAAAGCCCCTGTGGTCATGCGTAGTGCGACGTAGTGCACCGTGTTCAAAGTGCGCTTGCAGGTCTGTTGTACCGTCATAAATAAAGCAGTCGTAGCCAAGTTTTTAAAGAATGAGGGAACGACGGAGGTGAGAGCGTACTCCTATAAACACCGTATGACGTACGTCCCATGGACGCTAAGGTGTTAAGGGATTTTAAACATTCGTCGCGGAGGCTTTTGTGTGCATTCAGTATGTTACCTGTCGGTCAAATCGTATACCTACAGATTTTCTTGGAGGGGGTACGGTGGTTACAGGGCTGTTGGTTACATGGGGATACCCAGGGTCATTTCAGGTACTTGTTTCAAGTTTGACATTGCGTGACATCAGTGAAACCGAACGTCACGATCTAGAGATGTAAAATATATTCAGGAACGAGTTCACATGGGGCCTTGCCCACCATATTGGTGTTGCTATGTTCATTAATTTTTAGTATTTCACGGGGTTGATTGACTACCAGAGGGCATCTTATTCAAGCTGCCACCAGAACGTATTTGAAAAAGATGATATGTAAGCCACTTCGTTGTCTCGAAACATATCACGACAAAGTGGAGAATGTGACCGTTTATTGGACATGAGTACAGCACACCCACCTACCAACAACAAAAAAGCGCTCCACAACTTCGGCCCTGTTTGCAGTTTATCTGCTTGTCATCGGAACATCACTGCTCTTCACTTGAAGCACTAAAAGGGAAAAATAGAAAACGACATGATTAAACCAAAACCTTGATCTAAATCCAGGCTTACAATTGTTAGAAGTAACGAAATCCAAAACATTGAGCGGGGGGGAGCTTAGAGGAAGCACGACCTCTCCGTCTGTCCTTGATAACTTCCGAACCGTGTTCGCAACCAAAATCAAAGTTGAATGGTGTCGATAGTGGGCCATTGAACGATTTTGACGGCAGTAAAATTTTGGGTCAGATAAAGTATTGTGAATAAAAAATCTCACAAGGTCACATCAGGTCACGGTTGGTAAA